CTTTTGTACAATAGCTTATAGGTAGCTTTCATGGGGCGTATAACATTGCAATATTGCTTCCCTTTTCTTTTTCCCTACTCTAACTATAAATTTTACAAATATGAAAAAGGTTTCATTTGATATTACGATTGCATGCGAGAGCAAAAACTAAATAGAATCATACTAGCTGATGTATATAAATCCCAACAAGACAAAAAGAAAAAAAAAACAACTTCCTCATCTTTTAACTCCATCTTGTACCTCTAAAAGAGGTAACTGATTCAAACATAAAGATGGTAAAAGTTCTAGTTCGCATTTGCAAGCTTTCAAATCACATGCAACTTTATAATCATTTGAAAGTTTTGAAAGACTTTTGTCCATATCATTTATGTTGAAATTAATGACAAATTAACTGAAGCTCTCCGGGAACGATTGCAGAATCAAATCATTCGTAAGCTTCTTTTTTAGGGGAAAACTCAATCTTTCAAGGTTCTCCACATACCCAATCATCTTGAGTACATGGGGACGTTCTAGGGCTCCTTCAGCTAGCTTGCCTTGAAAAGGAATTTTTGAAACTTCAAATCTCTCATGCCTTGCCTGCTCTTGATAGAGCATATTCAGGTGTTCGATCATATTGAACGTTGCCATATTTTCATGTTGCATTTGTAATTCAAAAATCATGGTAGCCAGCATGAGGCAAGTAATTTCATTATCATCATCAACATGCTTCTTATAAGTATCTTTTTTAGTGTTAAAAGCAGAACAAGAAGGATCCTCTTCAAAAACAGGTGTCTCTAAGACATACAACTTTTTATCATGTTTGAGAATAATCCTCAGGTTTCGGTGTCAATCCAGAAAATTTGTCCCAGACAATTTTTCCTTATTAAGGATTGATCGCAAAATGTTATTAGATGTGTTTGTTGTCATGGTAATCTACATAAAAAATTGTAAAAATATAAGTATCATTAAAATCAACATATTCAATTAGGCCTTTAATTAAATATGCTCACACTATTTTACTTAAATCAAATGACCCTCATCATTTGATTCGGAAAATCCCGTGGGAAGATTTTCTAGTGGATTGAGATCCATATTTCACTTTTTTTAAGACAACGTTAGGTTTATTACATAAAACTAGGTTATTTAGGTAGGAACTCCTTCCAGTTGTATCTAATAAAATTCTTGAATATTATTAGTTGGATGAATAACTCCTTATTCAAATACATCACATAGATTATTTCCAACTCTTGCTTCTAAACATATATAATCTTATTATAATTTATTTATTTAAGTTTGACCCAGTGTTTTATCAATTGGATATTACATTTATCCCATCACACCGTGCTAATATAAAACATGCAAATTGCTTTAGGCGAAACCTACATTATCCAATACATGTCTTGATAAGTGCTAAAATTTAGAAAGTATAAGCTTAATATTTATTTTTGAGGAAATTTGCAATTAGTTTGACCTTACAGACTTATTTATCATATAAATCGACTCTCACATGCATCAACATACAATCACAAGCATCAACATACATATAAAATATGAAATAATTATGACCCCTAGCACAATTGTTCTCTCAAGTCAATGAGAGAACTTAAGTTAAACCTAATAACGATATGCGATTCTTCAAGCTAGATCTCCATGGTTGTCCTCTTTTGATCTTATATTCTTCTCTTTCTTCATAATATTATATTTACATAAAAGAATATTCATTTTACACACGAAAGAGTGAGATGAGAAGAGAAGTTACATAGGGAGTGTATAGAGAAAGACACGACACGCAGATCATATTTAAAATTTCCAAAATAAAATAAAGGAAGACTAAGGCCATAATCGTTCACCATAAGATAACAATAATAAACACATTTTATTATTATTATTATTATTATTATTATTATTATTATTATTATTATTATTATTATTATTATTATTATTATTATTATTATTATTATCAATTTGAATTATGTTAATTAAATAAATTAAATTAAACTTTAGCGATTGATCATGAGTTAATTCAGGTTTCTAATGTCGAGTTATTAACGTATATCAAATTATTTTAAAATAAATAATAACAACAATTTACTATTATTTAATTAAATAATATCATGATACTTTATCATGTTTTTTTTTAAACTTTTCATTCTACATAGACACAATGAGATAACCGTGAATAAGCATTTTGATACAAAAAACTGGCATTTTGTATACACACTAATACATACTACATAATACATACAAATATTATTATAAGAACTTTTATTATACTTATTGTATGATATAGGCAACATCTCGTTACTGTTACCGCAACATGTGTATGTATTTTATACTAAAAATAACAACATTTGTCATTAAATTATAAAAATAAAATAAAATACTTATGATAATAAAAATTATTATTATAATATAAAATTTTGCAAACTTTAAAATAACTTTTGACAACACAACTCTTGTGCCGTCAAAAACTCTAATGCAACTCAGTCATACTATCAAAATCATAACGATCGATTATTCAATTCAATTGATCGAAATGTTATTACTTCACCATACAAACGTCGGACTCCGAAGCAAAATAACATTAATCAATCACATGAAATACAATTATCACTCAAATCAAATTGATGAAATAAAAGACATATCAAATATACCGTTGTTGCATTCAAATTATCCATATTTTATATGAAATTGATCAATCACTTTTGTGTAACTTATGAATGATTGATGTATCGTTGTTTCACCATACAAAAGTCGAATTCCGAATCACAATCAACATCAAATCATCCAAATTGTACATAACACGATGCCAAAAAATTATTTTTCTTTATTATTTAATTTATTCCTTGTTTTAATCTAATTAAATCAAAAAGTACAGAAAATAAACATCTATCCAACTCATGGTTTCGTAAGTGGTTGTGATAGCACTGGAGGGAAATCACGACAAAAGACACAGCGGAAAACAATAATTTCCCTTTAGTTGATCCTTATGAATGAGCATAATCAGTGATAGAAACAATTACTTCTTGTGGTGATTAACAATTTTAATGCATGTTTGGATGAATGATCAGAGCGTTGAATGAAGAACAACGCCTCTACTCAGTCCATACGAACAAAGTGCCTTTAATATCAGTGCTAGCTGCTGTAAATGAAGATTTTGAGTGAGAGAGAGAGAGAGAAAGAGACAAATTACGGCCAGAGCTTTACCAACTGAATTTCATCAACTAACAAAGCTTCTATCCAAGAGTTGTATTTATAGAACCGCTTGTATGGACTACAAGGTAAAAAAAACCAACTTAAGTGCACCATATAATAATAATAATAACAATATTATTATTATTAGGCTTAAATGCAGTTTTAGTCCCCCAACTTACGTTTTTCTAAATTTTTAAGCCCTCTTTAAAAAAACTCAGCTTTTAAGTCCCTCTTTTTCAATTATCTTGGGATTTTCTTGGTCTCCTATTCAGTTTGGGCTATGTGGCATGGTCAGCACTGATGTGGCACAGTAAAATATTGACTCAGATTATAAATAATTTGCCACGTCATTTAAAACTTATTATATTTAATTTTTTAAACATTTAAATTAAAAAATATTTTTAATTAAACAAATTGATTAAAAAAGTTTATAAAACATGTATGTCTTCTTCCCCATTTGAAATTTGTGGACCCTAGAAATCATTCTCTAGAATTTGTTTGTATTTTTCCTCAATTGCTTCTCCAGAATTCGTTTCAAGCTTCACCTAAACTCTTAACATCCATGTCTGAATATTCAGCATCAAGCAATCGCAGTGGGTCTCGCTCCAATCACGTCGAATGCAAGTGTGGTATTCCTTCTCCGACGGTGTGGATTGATCAAAACTCGGGTCGTCGTTTTTTTATGTGGGATGTACAAGGTTAGTTTCATGTATTTTTTTTAAATCTCGAATTTATTGTATTCTCCTAAAAATCCCTAATATCTTCATGTATATGTCTAGAATCAGGGATACAAGAGATGTAGTCACTTTGTCTGGTATGATGAAGAAATGTCTCAACGAGCCAAGGAAGTGACATCCTCAATGCATTAAAAAATTAAACCAAGAAAAGGTTAAGTTGAATGAAGCCATTGTCAAAGAAGATCAACTAAAGTTGAAGATTAAGTATTTGAAAATGATGAACAAGTTTACCATGGGAATGACATTAGTGTTGTTAATTAGGTTGGTTGTATCAAATGTAATAAATTAGTTTGTATTGTTTGTGTTTGGTTGTAATGTGTTAGGTTTGTTAAGTGTTTGGTTGAAATGCGTTAGGTTTGTTAAGTGTTTGGTTGTAATGTGTTAGGTTTGACACTGTAATGTACTGTTATGACAAGGAAGTAATGTTAAGCTGAATTTACTTGACACTGTTATGACATTGTTAAAGCTGGCTTATAATATGATATCATACTTGTAAAGTTGTTCAAAATAACAGACGTATAAAGGTGGTTTATAAACCAATGTTAACAGACATATAAAGTTGTTCAAAATAACAAACATTATATAAAGTTGGTTTATAACATACATTATTCAAAATAATAAACTTAATATATCATGTCAATGTTAATCCATTTTATAAACCAATGTTATAACATACCTGTAATGTTATATCAGACCTAACAATGTTATCATCCCAAACAACTTGTTCAACTCACCAACCAAACAACTTGTTCAACTCATAATACATAATTCTTATGTCTGTTATCAGACCTGTAATGGCTTATCAGACCTATAATTATTATGTCTATAATGGCTTATAATGTGATATCAGACTTGTAATAATGTTATCAGTATATTCTAAAGTCATTAGGTAACATACCAAATTCATTATAACTTGTTCAAAATAACAGTACAACTTGTTCAACTCATAATACATAATTCTTATGTCTTAACCATTATGTAACTCAAAATACATATCTCTTAACCATTACATATCCCAAAATATATATGTCTTAACCATTATATAACCCAAAATACATATGTTTGAACCATTACATAAAATACATAGTCCTAATCTTGAGTAGCTGGTGGTCCCTGTGAACATGAACCAACTTCTTGTGTGGGTTGTGATGCAGTTTGTGTCTTTTTTCTCTTGTCATTGCCCTTACCCTTGCCATTTCCCTTGCTCCTTCCCTTAGTGATCTTTTGCTTCTTATTCCCTCCCTTTGGCATAATCCCATCTGCTGATCTCTTCCCTTTACATGTTATTTTATTATGCCCCATGGATCCACATTTTGTACAAGTGACAGTTGTTATCTTTCTTGGAAAAACATATGGATTCTTTGGTTCATCATTACTCTTGTTCCTCAGATTTTTCGAATGTCCAATTGCCTTTATCATCACTGGTGGATTGACAATCAATGTACCATCTACATGCCATAGTTGAGGGCCATTTGTAGGATATATGATGTGAGAGTATGTGTTCTGGAAAGTTGTCTTTCTGCACATATAAAAAAGACTCAGAAATATACATTTCATGACAGATGAAAAAAATCAGTATCATATAATGCCATACCTATAATACTCAGAAATAGATTCTTCAGGATGTTTCTTGTTATGCCATATACATGTTATAGCATGGCTACAAGGAATCCCGGTTAAGTCCCATTTTCTGCAAGCACATGTACCTTCTTTGATGTTGACACAATAAGTTTCTATACCATTTGTTACACCAAAAATAACCATGTCATCATCACCATACCAAGTTGGAGACCAACTCTTAGCAAACTTCTTATTCTTCTTTAAAGCTAACTGAACTCTTGGACACACATTACTAGCATACTTTACCATGAGTTCCTTCTGGTTACTGATTCTCTTAGTCAAGTAATGCTTTATCCCTTCTAAAAGGGTGATAATAGGTTTGTCTCTATATTCTAGGATGGCCCTATTAAAGGCTTCACACATATTATTTACCTGAACGTCACACTTTGAATATGTCTTAAAGTGTGACCTGCTCCAATATTATGTTGACGCCTCCTTCATATCCTTTCAAACTGATTCATTCAAAGCCTTTATCATTAACATTACCCTCTCTCATCCTTGAATAGTTGTAGCTCTTGCAGCACTCCATAAATCCTTTTTTAATTCCATACCAGGGTATTTTTTTCCCAGTTGCCATAAAAATGCTTCACACATAGTATTTGTTCCACATGCTCACTCAAGTCTTAGACAACTGGGACAAGACCCTGTCAATTACAAGTCAATGTAGTTAACCATTGTATACAACTTACATAAGTGATTTAAAAACAATAGTAGGAAAATAATATAAAACAATAGTAATTTACCTTTTGCTGATCAGAAATGAAGGCATACTCCCTTTGATTTATGCTTTGCAAGTCTTCAAGTAAGAGATTTAAAAACCACTCCTAAGAGTCCTTAATTTCCGCTTCTACAACAGCATATGCAATTAAATACAAGTCAGATAAAGGAAGACACACAAATCAACATAACCCAAATATGACCACAAGCCCTAAACAACAAAGAAAGACAAACCCTAAAATGACTGAGACCACCACGTACAAAAAAACACAAACCCTAAAACGAAAGCGACATGTTTCTATAACGGGGGACAAAATACTGCATACTTGAGACAAAACTTCTCCTTTTCATTGTTTTTCGTTGTCGCTGAAAGAATTTTGTCCATTGCTTTTCTCCTTCCAGACAACGTGTTAAGGCTTTGAGTGAAGCAATTGGGGAATTCTTGAAGACGATATCTAAGATTCACATAATTCAAATGGGGGAAGATACATGTTTTCTTCTTTTATGAATGAGGAAGATTGAATCTCTTCAGTTTAAGTTAATGAAAATTGTTTTTATTTTATTTTAAATGTTTATAAAAATTAAATATATTAAGTTTTTAATGACATAGCAATGTTATTTCCAGCCTGGGTCAACATCTACCATGTCACATCAGCGCTGACCATGCCACATAGCCCAAACTAAAGAGGGGACGAAGAAAATCCCAAGATAATTCAAAGAGAGGGACTTAAAAGCTGATTTTTTTTTAAAGGGGGCTTAAAAGTTTAGAAAAACATAAGTTGGGGGACTAAACTGCATTTAAGCCTTATTATTATTATTATTATTATAAATACTATTATAATAAATATATTTTATTATTATTATATTTAATAACTATAATAATAATAATAATAATAATAATAATAATAACTATTATTATTATTATATTATACGACGTTTCATATTTCACTTAAGTACACTGTACCTTACGGTGTTTCATAATTTTCTTAAGTACATTGTACCTTACAATGTTCCTTATTTATTCTATCTCTCACCAATCAGTCCATATGTGTGTGACCTTGTAAATTTTCGTGACGTTGACAATTATATTAAATCATACATTTAATATAATAAACAATGAGCAGTATCTAGCAACATATCACTGCTACTCAAGTCACGAAAATATCACGTGATCTGACAAAACCTTTTCGTGATGATATTATTGTGTACAATTACCCTTTCGCCCCCATGTCTATATTGAACATAAGACATAGACCATGTCAACCTTGTCCAATTTAATATTGGGTCCTTATACATTTATCCTGTTACGCCGGATGAGCAAATTCCATCTAAGTCACTCGTGTCCCTCAGTATACTTTGTGGAGTATCCATCAACTGTCTTTATGGTCACCCAGTTATAGACAATGTTTTATCAACAATAAAGTACTCGAATCCACATCTATGGTTCATAGTGGTTTCAGGTCGAAGGATGATATACACCGCTATTACCATGAGAATAACTTACGACACTTTGCATAACTTTCTATGTAGTATTCTCATTGCGGGTCATCCAGTATATATATTACTCATAATATTCATACCTATATGAATACTTGATAACTTTTTATCCATGACCCATGAGATGTGATCACCAGTTTATCCACATAATAGTCTCAATGCTTTAATGTTATCCCACTTCATAATAAAGCTCGACTACAGATACTTTAAGAATATTGTCCTTATGTTTAATGGGATCTCATGATTAAGTCACACTTATAATTTCATTAAACGGACTAGCTGTTCTAGGGACTTTATCATTTTGTAAAAAAACAAACATAAGATGGATGTCGTGGGAAAGGTTGACTTGTTATAAAAATGAAGGTGGGCTTGGTTTTCGTGACTTTAAGGCTTTCAACATGACAATGATGGAAAAGCAAGGGTGGCACATTATGACTAAACAGAGGCTTTGGTATCAATTAATTTTAAGGCAAGGTATTTCCCTCTATCTTCTTTTTTTGAGGCTACTCTTGGAAATAATCCTAGCTATGTTTAGAGGACCCTGTGGAAATCTCAAACTGTTTTAACCCACAAATTTCTAGGGAGGACTGAGGATGGTGGTAAAATTAACATGATATCCGATCCTTGGGTGAGAGGTGAAGAAAATGGGTGTGTAAATACACAACAAGTCCAAGGTGTGTACATTATTTGTGTTAATAATCCCATGATTAACAATGTTAGGCAATGAGATGTGTATAAAGTTCAAAAAATGTTCACACTTGATGCTGCTAAGAACATTTTGGATGTTTCCCTTTTGGAGGATGTTTGGGAGGATTGCTTGGTTTTGAAGGAGGAGAGTAGTGGAGAATATAATGTTAAGATCGGATACAAGATGGTGATATGTGTCCAACAGGAGAGGCAGGCATGTAGCACCGAATGGGATTGAAGTAGTCTTTGGAGGTCTAGCGGACCACCTCAGGTTAAGCACTTGTTATGAAGGATATATCGAGAGTGTCTCTAAACTAGAGTGAGACTTAGAAATCACTGTATTCCTTGTCCAATTGTTTTCCAACTATGTGAAAGTGAAGTTGAAAATGAGTGGCACATTCTTTTGGTTGTGTATCAAGTGTTCATTGTTGGAATGGGGCAGGCCTTTGTTTAATCATATATTCAAGGATTCAATGTTTTAATGAACCAAATGCTCTAATTCTTGATGTAACACCCCAAATTTAATCGGAATATTTTAATTAATTTATTTAATTGAGAATATTTGTTTTCGGTGATTTTCGGTGATTTTGTGAAGTATTGAGAAAATGTGCATTTTTGGACTATTTAATTGATTAATAGTATATAATATTAAATTATTAGTATTATTATTAACTAAAAGGAATATAAGTGGAATAAGGGTAATTTGGGCATTTGGAGGAGTTAGTAAGGGTAATGATGGAAAAGCCTAATTTGTGAGGCCAAAGACTAAGTTGGACAAAATAGAATTCTGAAGAGATTTAGAATTCATTTGTTAACCGTGAAAAGTTTGGTGGCCAAAGCTCTGAAGAAAAGGTTGGAAGCAGAAGGTTCCCAGAGTCAATCGTGAAAGCTTTGAATCGACTAAGGTATGGGGAGTATCGATGCTCATGATTTTCTATGTATGCCTTTAGATGTGCTTATGGTTGGTTTATGATTTAAGGTATTTTGGGTTGGTTGTGGGAAAATAGGGAATTTGATGATAAGGCTTTGAGGTTAGGGGTAATGGTATGTAACACTGGATATTGATATGAGAAAGGGAAACCTTAGGCCTTCGTGGCCAAAACCTTGGGATGTGATATGTTTGACCTTGTAGGAATAGGAATGTTCAAATGTGAGTAACTTTAATGCACTCAGAGAAATTGCAGGAAAATAGTGATTTAGGCAGTGCAAATGTTGCCAGATTGGCCTAATAAACCATAGATTCGGTGCCGTTATCGCCGTATGATCTTAGGGATGATTTAGGGATGTTTTGAGGGCATTGGGTAAGTGAATGGTATGAGTATTTGGGCAAGAATCAATTCTGGTCATAATAGGTTTTGCTGTCATCGCATTGTTCGCCTAGCGAGCATGTCAGTGAAGACTTGCCTAGCGAGCATGCTAGAGAAGACTCGCTACCGACTCGCCTAGCGAGCAAGCCAACGAATGTAGCAGAGTTCGCGAAATTTGATCGTTTGCAGCGATGCCTTGATGTTTGATTCTAAGATTTCTGAGATGAGTTAACATGAGTATGATAGTGAGGAATTATGTGATTGATAGGCTATAGTGTGAGGATTACCGCGGGTATAAGTTGATGAATTAATATGTGATAATATGGGATAATATTATGATGTAATATGAGATGATATGGGATAGTATTATGAATTAATATGTGATAATATGATGGGCTAACATGAGGATGACTATGAGCTAATATGTGATTTGGACGTGATTATATGATGATTTATGTGATGATGATGATTATTGTGATGAATTATGTGATAACAGGAGATATGATGAATTATGTGATGATGATGATTATTATGATGAATTATGTGATAACATGAGATATGATGAATTATGTGATGATGATTATTATTATAATGAATTATGTGATAATACGAGATATGATGATTTATGTGATGACGGTGATTATTATGATGAGTTATGTGAAATATGACGGTTTATGTGATGATGATGACTATGTGGATGAGTTATGACGTTGATGAATATGATGAATATGACGAATATGATGAATGATGATGCACCTTGTTGCACCCCAAAATTTGCCCAACCTTTTCTGAACTTGGTTTATGTTTCATTTCATTTCTTTCTAGCATTTGCATTGCATAACATGTTGTATTGAACAGGGGATCAAGAGAGTGTGCACATCAAGAGGAGTATATTCAGAGTATTGAGCCTAAGCAAAGGGTGGTACTCAAGTTTGGATGATCATCAGGTCATCAGGAAATGAACATTGGTCTTATGAAGAAAGGATGGATGTATGTGGGTCAGTTCCTAACTTGGAGGCCAGTTCAAGATAATTAGAGGTTTGTGAATTCATGGTTATGGATATAAGAGGTTGAGAGAGCTCATTGAGTGCCTTGAAGGTCATGGTGGAGCTCATCCAAGTGTTTGTGCCAAGTGTGAAGGGTTGCAGTTGAAGG